GTCAATTCAGTCCGTCGAATTGAGTCTCGAAAGGGTTTATGTTACAGTCGAATTCAAAAGACAATTCACAAGGAATATTCAGATAAGTATATATTTAGTAGAGCATGAGATTTATTTTAAGAGGATATCAATGATGAAGTGGAAAAGGTTATGTAAAAGGTTATGCTTTATTGCTTGGTTCAGTTGGTCTTTAAATACATTTTAGATTTTGGGAGTGTTTACACGACTACGGGAGCGACTACACCACCACTGGGATGCTTACACCCCCCACTAGGATGTTTACACACCCATTCCTTAGTCATTTTCCTGTGATTATGCAAGTGGGCCACAACAACAGGTTCGAACGGCTGTGTTTGCACCCTCACAGTCGCGTTTACACACCTTGAGCAACGTTCATATGATTAAGCCACCAAGCCAATTTATCATTACCATTTTAGTATAAGCTATGAAATAATCAAAAGAAATTAATAATAAATCTACTAAAATTGGACATTGTTACCAGAATGGATGGGGTAACACAAATAAACTATGAACATGCGGCAAAGTTACCGATTAAAATATGAATTTAAAACAAAAATAAAGAAACTAAAAATTTAATTCGTTACAATATATAATAATATTTATAATATGGTGACCAGAAAGATATTAGCACAATAGTATTTAAGAATAATAATTATTTTTTTAATAATATAAGTATTGTAATAATTGAAACATTTTTATAATCGGGAACAAAATAATAGCAACTATAAGTACATGAGTACCTAATTTCAAGGCAATATCTATATAGAGTACTTTATCCAATAAACGTTCTTGATAGTAACATTGATAATAAGACAATACCCAATTTACAATTAATTGACCAAAAAGCATAATGAAAAACACCTTAAAAGATAAAAAGAATGAATGATATAAAAAAGTAAAAAGGCTTGTAATAATAGAGGCACAAAAAATCCCCATATAATCTGCATTTTCAAACATTTGTTTCCTTCGAATTTGATGGTTTTTGATCGAAATTTGAAAAACCTCATAATCTTCAGCAAAAAAAGTCCCTTCTGAAATAATTTCATGTTCGTAAGATCGTTTTATACTATTCCAGGTTGAAGAGCTTGTCATGCATAAATCACTTCCAAAATACGGGCTTTTTTTGTCACTCCAGTAGATGGATTCAATTGGACTATTAACAAGACTTAATATTGGATCGTTACGATTTGTAAGAGAAAAAATAAAGCTATTACATGTATAGCATCGGTAATCTTTAAAAATAATTCTTCCGTAATAATCATGTCCAATGATTTTTCCTTTGCTCCAATCGATTGGATTATATCCACCAATTACACTTCCAGATCCTCGTACCTTAATAACTACAACAGTAGCACCTTTATTATCACAAAGGTCGTGAAATGTATCAATCCCGAATCCATCACGGGAACCACGAAGTAAGAGCTTGAATTCAAATGGATTTTCTAGATCTGAGTATGGTATCTGTCTATAATCTACCCATCCTGCAATTCTATTAATATCATTGAGATTAATAATTCTAGAGTCGAGTTGTCGCCTTCGCTTACGAATACCTTCTTCTTCCATTCTTTACGTTATTTTGTTTCTAGAGAATCGGATTTAAGTTTGACTATTTAAATATTTAACAGTAATTAATACCTGTCTATAATCTACCCATCCTGCAATTCTATTAATATCATTGAGATTAATAATTCTAGAGTCGAGTTGTCGCCTTCGCTTACGAATACTTCTTCCATTCTTTACGTTATTTTGTTTCTAGAGAATCGGATTTAAGTTTGACTATTTACAGTAAATATTTAACAGTAATTAATACCATTTTGGAAGACAATGGTTTGTATGCAAAAAGATAAATCACGTGGCCAAACAAATTCCAAGTGAAAAATCTACGGACAGTGCTTAGGATGTTACGACAAGGAAGGGACTTTACTGTTGCACTGCCAATTTAACTACTGGTGTAAGCATTAAATATTTATTAAAGCGAACAAGTGACAATAAGAGCAAAAGGTATTTCTTATTTATTTCGATTGAGTAAAAGAAAATCTCCTTCTGTTCATCATGAATAACCCTATTTATATTTATTCCATTAGACTCAAATAAGCTAAGAAAAATCATTACGCAAAAATGAGGTAATAATTTTAACAATGCGAATGTGTAATAATAGATACTAAAGTATGTGCGAAAGTTTAATAAAATAACACTGATGATCATTTCGTATGCATAGTAATTATGTGCAAAAGTCTAATAAAGTAAAAATGACAATCATTACGTTTTTCGTAATAACGCCAGTTCGATAACATAACCCAATATTGTATTGCCCACGATGACAATCATTTTTAACAGATTTTAAGTACTATTCGAATGCTTTTTTGTCATCTTTGGTAATTCCTAAACCAAAAAAATAACAAACTCCCACAAATAGTTGTCCTACTATTCGAATGCTTTTCTTTGTTCTTCAAAGTTACCAGAATTAATGGATTTTAAACACTGTTCAAATTCTTTATCAATTCCAATAAATTCATCGATATTCGTCTCGAAATTAACAAAAAGTTTCTTATGGTTGTTAGAGAAAAATATATGCAATGTAATATAACCAGTTGTATGAAACCCACAAATTTTTGATGGTGGTTATCCAATTTCATCTTTTTAACATTATATTTCCCATTATGTAAACAATGACAACTACCAAAGTCACAAGGCAATGTTTGTTTTGAGTCAATGAATTTACGTGTGACGTTTGGTGTTGAATGTACTATGTAGATTAAATATATGTATAGTCCCATATAATTAGGGCGGCTGCGAAGTGCGTGTCGAGTACAATCACGTAACAAGTTTAAAACTCATTCATGTTCATGCTCGTCTTACTGGTTTAAAAAAGCTCTTCTGTTAAATTAGCACAAATAAAAATAAATTCAAAATTTGTTATTTTGCTTTTCATTATTATTGATTAGAAACATAAGGAAACTGTTTGCTATCAATCACACGGTTTATATGTTATAAATGTCAGGATATCTGCTTTTTAAATACATCAGTTCAAATTTGCCATTCCCATTTTCTAACAAATAACTACTAAGTAAATATGTCGTAGCTTAATACTAAATTAACCGTTGTATCTTTGCATTCAAAAAGAAATTATAGCCGGAACGAGAATAGGCTATATCATTATATAGTCATTATATAGCATGTTAGTGCGACTTATCCGTGGTTCTTAGCTACTATTGCTGTATAACTAATCACAAAAAAAATCACAAAACAAGAGGTTCTTGCACTGCTATTGTCATGAACCCTAATTACATCATGAAATTTTTGCATTGCGAAGTTTATGTACAATACATAACTAGTGCAACGGCACATGATTTTACATGTGCATTACAAAGTTTTGCCAGCTGGACTTTATGGCCAACATTATTCATGTAACAAAAATTACATGTCAAAAACTTACAGTAAAAATTACACAAATAATTGTAATATATAAAAAAATATATATATACTTTACATATGATACAGATAATTTATTATTATAAATATCAACTCCTTTAATATTATTAAATATATGTAATCTATTTGTAATTTATGCAATTTATACTGTACGTATAACGATTATACCGAATCAATTTGACTTATTACTCAACCGATAGTAAACCAAACTTTTAATCAACTGATACTCACTTGGTTGACCCGGGTCAGGATTTTTTTAACAGTTCGGATCACTCCATAGGTCATATTTTATTTTGTATATTGCGAATGTAACTTTATTTCCAAGGGAGACCGCCCTAAATATGAGAAGGTCTCCCTTGAAAATGGTAATTACTGTTAGCAATTTCATCATCATGACATAATATGTAGTCATACTCCTTCCAGAAATTAATAGATGAAAATCATTACTCTTACGTACGTACTAAAGATAGATTTTGCGAAAATCGGCATAA